TGAGGTGGTGACAGTGGGGAGGCAGAGAGGTGAGTAGGTTGATACTTAGGAGGTAGCAAGGATCAGATTTGGTGAATGTATGAGGAAGGCAGAAAGTGGGTGGGCTCAAGCCATGTCAGGGTGTCCTTCGTTACATGGAACACTGGCAGGAGCTGGAACTGGCTGTGAGCAAATGTTGAGCTTGGGGTGCCCATGAGACCCGTGAGCAGAGATAGTCCAGTAGGACAGTTGGTGATATGGTTCTGGAGCTCAGGAGGGAAGGCAGAGACTTTAAAAAATTGGGCCATTTTGATATGTAGCCACAGAAGTAGATTCAGCTGCCTGGGGAGACTTTATAGGACAGATATTGTGGACTGGTGGCCTACATTCTGTATTTGACCCTCTGACATGTGTTTATTTTGGGCCTAATGTGTTTTTTGTTTTTAATTAGAGCTAACAATGAATATTGGGATTTTATATTAAAATCTGGAGTCTGGCCTCTTTTGGAAAATGAGATCATCTAGTGACACTTACCCCACATTTCTGGATGGCAGCAATTGCCTGGAGCCAAATAATGGCTGCCCCATTCGATTGGGCATGTATGTGGGCTTCAGTTTGCCACAGTCCATACCACTCCATATAATATTCTGCACAGTGATTCCAGACTGCTTTGCTTCAGTTCCCTACCTGGCAACTGTAGGCATTTGAGTTTGTGACCCCTGCCACAAAGTGACCATGCAGAGGGCCTAGGAGGAGCCCAAGGAGCCATACCATTTAAGGGGAGGTAGAGGAAGAGCAGCCAGCAGAGAAGACTTTTAAAGAGTGCCTAGGGAGGCAGGAGGAAAGCCGGGAGGATGACTGTGAGAAGGAGGGAATGTGGATCAGCTGAACTCAGTGCTACTGACTTGGTCTGACACAAAGGATGTGTCCTTTGGTCTAGTCATGTGCAAGTTATCCGTAGCCTTGGTGAGAGGCGCCGCATTCACAGGGTGCTGGGTGGAAGGTAGGTTGTGAGGCTTTGAGGAATGGATGGGAGGAAGTGGAGACAGGGCTGGAAACTTGTTCAGGAAGTTTGGCTGTGAAAGGCAACTTGTGTTGAGAAACCACAGGAGTAACTCAGCACATCAAGCTGGAGTGTAAAACCCGTTATTTTTATATTAAAACAAACAAACACTAGATATGTCATTGATGAGCAAGGTCTCTAAGAGAGGAGGAGAGAGAGAAGACCAGGAAGACTAGGTTTGGGCTAAACATCAAGGACTCTCTTCTCTCCCTTTGCTAGCCGCTGTCAGCCCTTCACATGCGTGATCTCATATAGTCCTCGAAATGACCCTCTGGTGTGTGTCTAGACTTTTCTCATTTTGTGGATGAGTAAACTGAGGCTTTGAGAGGTACGGTATGTGACTGGTAAGTGGCAGAGCTGGGGCTTGCATCTGGCTATCATGCTGAATGTCTATATACTCAGCTCTTTTTTTTCCCATAAGGACACCCAGTTGTATTGGCATCATTTGTTGAGAAGACTTTTCTTTCTCCATTAAATTAATTGCTGTGGCAATTTTGCCGACATCAGTTGGTCAAGTATTGTGGGTCTATTTTTAGGCCCTCCTTTCTGTTCCATGGATCATACATCTCTTTGACAATAGCACACAGTTTCTATTACTATAGCTTTATATGAAATCTTGAAATCAGGTATCTTGAATCTTCCAACTTAGCTCTTTAATAAAATGACTACTCTGGGTCATTTGCACATCTATGAATTTTAGAATTATCTTGTCAATTTTTATAAAAAGACCCACTGGGATTTTGATTGTGATTGTGTTGATTATTGTAAGGCTTTTCCAAAAGGAATTGGTAAGGCTTGAATCTCATTTCCTATCGGCGTTAAAGAAATTCCATTGGGATATGTGACTGTAGGCTAGTGGTTGCTGACTCAATTAATGGATGAGACAGGTAGGGTAAATGAGTGGTAGGACCAGGAATGAGATGATAAATGGTAGCTGATCCTGGGCCATAGTGGAGAGTAATAGGCTGCAGTGAGGATTTGGACAAACAGGAGAGCTCAAGGCCTGCTGAGGGGGCAGCCACTTCTTAACTCCACCAGTGTTGTCATGCAAAGAAGATGGGTCAGTGTTGTCTGATCTTCCAATCCAGGGAAGCTGGAAATCTGGATTTGTATGCAGTCTCCTAATTTCATAAATTGAAATTTAAAAACTAAATGGGTCAATAGCTTGTGAGTCAAGCAGAACTCCTACTAGGCTAAATGTGGCCCGTGGGTGGCCACTCTGCGACCTCTGTCTTAGACGAATCATTCTTTAGTCCTCATTTTCATCATCTGTAAACATGACAGTGTTGAAGACAGTCTCAAGGTTCTTCTTCTAGCTCAATAATTCTAAGTTTCAAAAGAGGAAAAATTAAGGTAACACAAGATTTTAAGAGGTAGCTGAGAATATCAACAATAATGATAATGTCTTGAAAAGTTGTACAGTGTTGCATTTTACACACCACTGTCATGTCTGCTCTCATTTCATCTTTGTGAAGGGGGCATTTGCCCAGAATAATTTGCCCAGCCTTACTGGAACTCCCAGTTACAAAGTTAGGTCTTCCAATTCCAAGTCCAGTGCCCTTTTTACTGTAGCACAACAGTTTCTGAAGGCTCTGGAAACGGGTGCTTTGGAAGGGAGAGCAGTTATAGGAGACAATGAGAGGGCCTTCAGCTTAGAAGGCAGGTTCCTGATGGAATTTTGAACTTAGTTTGGTGAAAGTGTTAAGGCTTTTGAGTAAGAGTTGAAGCATTTGTGAGAAATCTTGGAAGGCAGGAACTTTGACATGCATTCATTTTGGTAAGCCAGTGCCTCACATAGTACCTGACACACAGTTCAGTGTTTGTATAAATGAGTAAATGGATGGGTTGATCTTTGAAAGAAGAAACCGAAGGCTTCAGATCAAGGTAGCTGAGACTTTGTCTAGAGTATTTCAAGGATGGAGAACGAAATGCTTCTAGTGAGTACTCTTAGAATGTTAAAATGGAAAGCTGAGAGATTTTATTCTTGTAACTCAGCTCATAGATGGAAAAAGCTTACCAGGTCTTCCTTCTCATATTTGACTCTGAGATCTGGGTTTTGATTATAACCATCTTCCTATACAATATGTTTGAGAATCAAATACTGTGGGTATAAAGGAAGTTCAGGCCATGAAAAGGTTTTGTATGCCTTCAAAATTTCCAAACAGAAATAAGTCTTTATTTCTTGGAGACACATTTTTTTTTTTTTTTTTTTTTTTTGGGGTTGGGGT